CAAGATGAGAAGATAAGTTAAAAAGGAAAAACAGCAGAAAACAGTTTGTTGCCTGGATGACTTACTAAAGTTGTATACTAGTGAAATCTTGCCTTTCTTATTGCTTTTCTTTGTGTGTGGTCAGGACAAAAAGTAGTAATATCTAACTACCACAGCAAGGAGTGCCAGGAAGAAATTTAACATTCAGAAAACATGAATATTTTGCAATTTTTGTAAAAAGAGATATTTTATAGCTTTAAATTTATTTTCTTGATTGTTACAGGCCATATTTTTTCTGATATGAAAGATCTAAGCTACACTTCAGTTAATGAAACAAAGCCAGCAGTTAATGAATCTAGACCAGTTTATCCCAGCATAAGATCTCATCTCAGTTTTACAGCCGTAACAGCAAAATTAGATGAAATGCAATGGACTGTCCGTAATATGTACAAGATATTCTCAGTCATTCAGATGGCTCAATATTTAGCCCATGAGCCACTTTGTTCAGCTTATTAAACATTTATTCTGCTAACATCTGATTTCTTGCAGGATGGTGTTCTCCCCCAGATCCTCCTCTTGCAATTTAAAGATCTGACTTTACACATCACAGGTTTGAAGCAGCGTCTTTTGAGGGTTTGGGGAGAGTAGGGGGAATTGGATAACTGCCCAATTTCATATGATAAAAGAGTAATTCTCTCCTGTCTGCAGGAAAATCCCCAGGGAACAAAGTATGAAACCCAAACTTAAATAAAATCATATCCTGTTTGCAAACGTCATATTCCCTTTGCTTCTCAGTAATCTGGACCCATAAACCCCAGCACAGCTTGAGCGCCCATTCCTCATCTAAACAAATGCCATAAGCTCCTTTATACTTTTACAACCATGTCAGAAAATAATATTGACTGCCAATAGTGATGTGATTGGAGTTGCCTCCTCTGAGCCATAAAAGAAGCAGTCTGTTATCAATTTCTCTAAATGCATCAAGGGAATTATGGGTCGGTTCAGTTCCAAGTTATAAATGACAATTCAAAAGCCGCAGAACTGTTTGAAGCTGGGAGCTGATGATGACATTATCATAAAAGCCTGCTCTTCTTTTGCTTTTGTGGGTTTTTTTTTGCCTATCAGCTAGAGAAAAAAATATGGCTGAGAAATAGCTTCAAGATTTCTTCACACAGCAGCAGGTCAAACAGGCAGGAAAACAATCACTATTTTTAGTGACAGACTGAGGCAAGGAGATGAAACTTACTCCCATTAAAAATAGATTTCTGCTTCTCTTACTGTCATTTTCACAGCACAACAGAAAGGGGGTAATTGCAATAGATGGATGCATTGATCAACAGTTATACCTCTAGTGGCTGTTTACAAACAAAAAATTGTGGAATACTCTGATAATCCACAGAACCAAAAAGTAATTTGTGATTATTCTCCCCCTTTGGCCACTTCACCTCTAATCTACCCACCTCTCTTGGAAAATTTTTCACATTCCAAACCTCTGACCAGCTGCAAGAACATCTTACTAAAACTGCTGGCCATAGACCTGATAGTCTTTCTCCAACTCAAGGAATTTCATCCCCCCCCCAGTATCGGAATTCTTTAACAACAGTTGATTCTGGAACAAAGTTAAGCTTGAAAAAAGAATGAAAAGCATTATTGTAAGAGAGGTCCCATACTTCAGTGGCTGTTACACTGATGGCCCTGGATAGTGCTCTGATAAAAAATTTAACCATCATTGAAAGAAAAACCTGTTATGGGCAAATTTAGGAGGTTAGATTTAGATGGCTATTTTTTTTTCATCATCTTTGATATCTATTCAATTTGGCTGTCAGTATGAAACAGCTTTGTGCTCTTAGATAAGAGAGCTAATTATATATATAATTATAGTTTCTTATAAAACTATAAAGTTATTTGTTTAATTCCTTCTGAAAGTCTGACATACATGAAGACAAATTTTGCCAATGAACCTGACATAATCAGTGCCTATCACTACTTGAAATAAAATTCATATGGATGAAAAATTATTACAAAATCAGGAAATAGTAGCTTTACATGCATTTTGCACTGGCAAAAAAGATTTATAGCCATGATGGAACAGTATCTGAAAACATTAGTTATGAATACTGCCTCTTGTTTAGGTAGATCATAGCCTCAGATACGTGGGCTTTATCCTGCTTATGTTTTTACTGGTGCAATGTTCTTTCCAGCTCTGGCACAGCTTCAGCGTGTGGTGTGAGGGTCCTGAACCAGAAACAATCTATGATCTGCTCAGTGATAATAATCATCTCCTCTAAGAGATGAGGGCTCTGATATTAAATCCAGCCAGGCAGTGGAGAGAAATGAGCCTAGGTTTCCCACCTGTGTGAGTAGTCCAGCCACTAATCTATTTAGTAATAGAAGAGTTGCATAATAACAACCAGTAAGGTCCCCATAGGGTTAGAAGACAATAGGATCAAAGAGCTCTCCTGCAAGAATGGAATTAACTTTTTTTTTAATACTTTCTCACTGTATTATTTAGCAAACAAGAAAATAAATGAGAACAAAAGTCTAAAAAATAAATTAATCCTTCCATCCCTCCTTAAAATCTTTGCATGAACTATTCTTACTGCTTTATATTGTTTACTGTTTTATAACCCTCAATGAAGTTGAAAACTACTAAGTAGCAATGCTGCTTCTTTCTTTCTACCATCATTTTTCGAAACTAAAGAATTACTTTCCACACAGTTTGAAGCAGCTCCCTTTCCCAGAGCTCATCTTAGCCAATAGACAGCTAAATATCACTGAGAGTTCCTAATCTGATTATTTACCTTGAAAGAGGTCATAACCCATTCCTTTAAAAGAGCCCCACAGCAAGCCTGACAATAATAATAAGTAGAAAGGCAAACCAACCAGAAAAGAAATAAATAAAAGATCCATTTCTACAACATGCTCTTTAATCTAGCTTCCATGATTTTAAATAAAAAAATAAAGCAGACTCAAAAAAAGTGTAGATACATTTAAATGCTTTAAAAATGAATTTATACTGAGCATTTCTGACCTGTTAGATTTAGAACATACATTCACTGGTAGAGGGATTTCAAAGCACATTTCTATTTACAATTTTTAATACCGCAATTACTTGTTTCAATAATCTTTAAAGCATACCACAGTCCTATTTACTTTCCAAAGCCCTAAAAGAAAGTTTACATCAGCTCCTCTTTACTCAGAAGCCTAACATCCTTTCTCAACTTTATTGATATTTTGCTCAATTTTTTCTAAACTTCTTAATAAATGCAACAATGTGGAAAAATTACCTTTTTTTTTATACTGAAATATGTGCATATAAGCTTGTGTATGTGCATACATGTCTACATGTCACTGTGTAATGTTAGCTGATCCTCATACAGAAATGATCCCCAAGCTGCTAGTCACTAAGTTCCAAATTTTAGGCAGAATCACCAGCAAGCTAAGTCCACAGTAGAGAAGCTGGAGTGATTACCACTCCTGATTCTTTCTTCATTAACTAATAGCTCAGTAATCCTCAAAAGTTACTAAATATTTGAAAGCTAAAATTGAATTTTTCTTTTTTGAGTGTTAAAACCTTACAAAATGAGTATTTTTTTCTGTCAGGTATCTCATAATTAAAAAAAAAAAACAACCAAACAACCCATGCTATAAACAAGACTAGAAGACAGTCTGAGAAACTGGGGGCTGTTCAGCCTGGAGGAGAGAAGACTGCATGGAGACTTCATAGCAGCCTTCCAGTATCTAAAGGGGGCCCACAAGGATGCTGGAGAGGGGCATCAAGGACTGTAGTGATAAGACAAGAGGTAATGGGTTCAAACTTAAACAGGGAAAGTTCAGGTTAGATATAAGGAAGAAATTCTTTACTGTGAGGTTGGTGAAGCACTGGAACAGGTTGCCCAGAGAAGTGGTAAATCCTGCATCCCTGCCAGTGTTCAAGGCCAGGCTGGACAAAGTCTTGGCAGCATGGTCTAGCGTGAGGTGTCCCTGTCCATGGCAGGGGAGTTGGAAGTAGATTATTTTAAAGTCCTTTCCAACCCAAACCATTTTAAGATTCTATGTTATGGAATTTATCCTTTGTGAAGGAAAAAAGTAAGTAAAACTTTAGAATGTTGCATTGGAAGTTGACCTCCAGAGATTGTGTCTTTATTCCTGCATACACAGAAACACGGAAAGGGAACTAAAATGTATGTGCATCATCCAGCCAGCCCATTGATATCTGGTAATATCATCATTTCACTTTGATATTACTGACATCAGTAAATAATGGACCCAATTGGACCAAGAGTGTAGAATCTTTTTCTCAGAAAAAAAAAAAACCTGTATGTGAAAATTATTTCTCCCTGGTATTATCTTTTGTATAATTTAATAGGAGCATGATACCAATATCAGCATTAATTCTCTATTCTCCATGGTTTTCAATAATTTAGATTCATTCTTTTATATAGTGTTGCAAAGAATTTTTGCCTGCAGATTTTTGTTTGCAGTGTCCTAATACTCACAAGCTTGCATTTTAGAATGAATCTGTTTCAAAACAAGACAAAAAAAGCTCAAATAACTTATTAGTTTAACAACACCCAAGTTATTAGGTAGCAGTCAGTGAGCGCTTTTCATGCTGTTAGCTTTAGTAATTTATTTTCCTTTCTGAAAAAGATGAAGCTGTATTTACGTATCAACAGTACACAAAACAGCTTCTCCAAAGCTCATTCTGCTCTAACAATTACACCTATGGTACTTTCCTCAGAAAACAGAGCTCATGTAAGAAAACTCAAGTGGGACAACGAAGAAATGTTCACATTATCACAGAATATGTTCTTATCTAATTGTTATATTTGCTTACTGCAATGTACTGTTTTTCATGTCCTTGAAAAAAATCATAATAGCTGCTCAGGTTTCATCTCTACAGATTTCAACAGCTTCTGAAGACTCTGAACTGATAATGCAATAGTTCTAAGGAATTCATTTGTGAGTACATATGCTGTGTGCTGTCCCTCTTGCAAAAAAAATCCCAAACATGTACTTACCCCAAGTCCTCCACAAGGCAACAAGGAAAAGAGTTTTTGAGACACATTTCCTATATATTAAAGAAAAAAAGAAACAATGAACATCATTTATTAAAAAAAAGACATTTAAATACTGGAACAGTAATTACTCTTTACTGGAATTCAGATTTTGTTATCACACAATGAAAATACCAGATATTAGAATAAAAAAAAGTAATAGTATTTTGAAAGTAAATCAGCCATGGGATATTTAAGGCACTCTTTCACAACAGTGACAAATCTTAAGATTGGTAAGCCATAGCTTCAAAGGAGTATAATGATCAAATCTCCACAGAAAGTCACTCTGAGCTAGGGTGACTAATCATCCTGATATTTGTAGCTGGTAAGAAGCTTGTCCAAGCTAGTCATCTCAGATTCTTCCAATCTGTGGAATGGGGAAAGTATCTTTACCCAGTCTAAACCAATGCAGTGAATTATGCTTGAGGAATGCCTGTTTCTTTTTCACTGAACAGAGGGAGCCTCATTAAGTTTTACATGAAACTGAAAACTAATTTCTTAACTTCATCTCTCAAAAAAAAGTTTCTCCTTTGAAAATCACAGCCTTAGTCTGTCTGTCTATGCAAAAATGCTGTTCTCTTCATTATTGTATCATCAATGAATACATTAATATTTCACAAACACAAAAACCAATACTATTTGTTTAAGTATTGCTCAGTAAATACATTCTACTAAATGGAATAAAAAATTAATAGGCTTTAGAATCTAATTACTAGCTTGTTCTGCTCTATATATTAGATGATGTGATAGGGTTTATCTTATATTTATATTCACTTTTTATTCATTAATGTTTCCTTTTTTTTTTGTACCACTAAATTCACTGCTTGTCTTGATAAGGAGAATATGAAAACCAGGTAAGGATCTCAGTATTTGATGCAGTTCTTATCCCAGTGTGTAATCTGATCCTAAGGCAGCTGTGGAAGAGAACATAAACTTTTTCCCTGCCTTATCACCAGAACTGGCTTTGTAACTTTGCCATCTGGAGGAAACATGAGATAGTGAATCACTCAAGTCACCTAGAGCAGCCACCCATTGTTATGGAAGGGGTGAATGCTGCAGTTACTCATGTTTAGCAGGTGCCAATGAAATGCATAAAGACAATTACAAGGCATCATCTTTGAAGTACAAGAGACCAGACTGCAATGTCTGAGATGAAGAAAGTGCTTTACACTTTGAGTATAATCCAAGATGCATTTTTAACAGACTAGAGGCCTTTGATCAGATTGATAACAGACTTTGCAGAACAAGAAAAACATTGAGATTTCATGAAGAGAGCAGTGGGGAAAGCTTCAATTATGGGAGAGTAAGTCCATCTCTTAGCTAGCCTCACAAAATGAAAAGAGCTCACAACACTGCCATAAATGAAAATCAGTAGCAAAAAGCAAACCCCCAAAATTAATCAAAGTGAGAATTTCTCATGATGTTTGGAGTTGATATTCCAGCAGAACTTGGTACATAGCAGTCATTTTCAGGTTACACCCTTCCATACCCCAGGGTACCTCCATGATAATAATCATAAAAAATATATTAGGATAGTTCAAGTAAGATAGAAGACAAATTTTAATTAATAATACTTTTTCTGGCTTTGTCTCATGACAGAATTTGTAGCTACCAAGAAATTACTCGAGGAAAAAAAAATCTTTTAGATAAGATTTAGTAGAACACTTGACTGATAGAGCTAGAAAAAGTATCCAAGATTTGCACTCTAAAATTCCAACCCACAAAAGAAGTAGAAGCTGGTTAGTCAAATTAGGTGCTCAAGAACCCATCACTGACTAAGGTCAGGGTCCCTACAGAAGTCAAGGAAACTGCTTACGAGGTTGACAATTGAGGACTGAAAGTCTGACAAGCAGGAAACATGATCTGCAAAAGCTCTCTTTCAGAAAAATCAACAAATTTAAAAGTATGTTCACTTATAAAAAGGCACAATTTGGGGGACCTGATTGTTTTCAGTATCACTCAGGAATGAAGCCATTTCCTCCAAGCGGTCATTTTTTCACTAACTTGTAATTGCAATTGCGCAGATGCTCTGTGAATGGATCTTTTAGTTGTACTCTAAACACTGCCTCACAGTCATGGATGTGTTGACAGCATATTTCTCACTTTTACAAACTTTTAACTTTTGGAAACTTGATTTTTAGAAACACTTTCTTAATTATGGTTGAAGAGGGAAAAAGCAAATAAATTTCTAAGACCTGTTTGATAAGTGCTCTGCCCTTGAGCTTATTCAGAGAGACTTGAAAGATTTTCTTCTGTCACAAGAAACCACAAGGTGATGTGATACATAGCCTGCATATTATTTTCCTTCAGGTCAAGACAATGTACTGCAACTACCACACTGAAATACAAGCAGTAAGAAAGCTTAACTACACAATCATGTAGAAGTTGAAGTGATCATTTACATTAGCTTCATTTGTAGGTCCTGATGCAGGGAAAATAAAGCTAAGAGTTCAAGCCAGTTTATTCTCTGATTTCAGTCGTTTCAGCTGTTTTGCTTTGCAGTCTTCCAGAACAGAGCTTTTCTCAAGAAAAAACACTGAACTAAGCATTTATTGACAAGTAGCACATTTCTAGCCGTAGTCTTACTTAAATCTCATTTCTGCTTATAGCTGCTTCAGACAAAGCAGATGTACTCATGTACCCTCTCTTCTGAACAGGGAGAAGGAGCAAACACTTTTCTAGAACACAAGTAGAGAAGAAACAGTGCCACCGTCTTCTTAGGTGGCCAGAGGCATAAGGAAAGGTCCTCCTTTTCCTTAGGATGCAAAGACATAATTTAATGGAACAATTTCTATAGAAAAAAAAAAAGCACTTTCAATAAAATAGAAAAGTTTTATGAGATGATGTTGTTATTGATGACATTTTTTAAGAAACATTTCCTTTAGATTTTTCTCCTTTGCTACACATCATTTTGAATTCCTATACTGTACCAAGATGTTAATTTTAATGTCAGGGTTTGTTTGATTCAACCTCACTGAACTGAGGCAAGGGAAGGTGAAACAATTACACTTCATTTTGTGAATAGGTAAAAGACAATTAAGTTCCTTTACATAAGAGTCTGGAAGCCCAAATGATTAGTACTTCCAGCCAAAAACCAGGCACATAAAAAACATGTGGGAAGGGTGTTTTATTGACTATTGTCTTGGTAAAAGGCCATGTGAGATGCAGCAACATCCTAGAAGCAGAGACAGAAGAGGGCAATAAGCCAAGTATACACTCCGATTATATGCTAGGAGTGGGATCTTGATATAAACTTACTTAGAGAGTAAATGTTTTGGACTAAGTGTCAAACAAAAAAGGCAGAGTGTCAAGTAAAGAACTGTGGGTAAAGAAGTGGCTTTTTGAGACTGGATAAACAAGGATTTCTACATTCTCTGTGCATAGGCAGAAACACAGAGAGGATACCTGGGTCCATTCCTTTTTTCACCTCATAACTGCAACTACACACTGCATCCCATATGCTGGTCAACCACTGAGATCCAAATGGGAACATCTGTTATCAGTTATTATATTATTGTATTGTATATTATTATATTATTGTTATTATTTGTTATCACAATACATATATTGATAATGCATATTATATTAAATAATGTGAAAATTGAAATGAATAAAACAAAATAAAATTTAAATGAAATGTTTGACTATCAAAATGGAACATTTTGACAATGTTGATGAACTCAAAATGTTTCAAAATTTTCATTTTACAGGAATTTACACCTTTTTCTTGGAAACACTTTTGGGGTTTGCTTTGTATTGTTTTGTTTTTATAGTGGGTTTTCCTACCTTGGAAATTCAAGCTCCAGAGAATTTATCTTACTACAAGTATTTTTTAGTTTTGATGTTGCCTGGGCTAAGATGTACAAACCTAGATAATATTGTGATCAAGACATTGCTCTTATGTGCTCTTATGGCTCACCAAAGCAACAGTCTGCCTTAAAGAAGGAACTCTTAGTATTAGTTTCCAAAGCAAAATAATTGCTATGTATTACTAAAACTGTGGCAGCATTTCTTTTGATGGCTAGTATCGATTTTGTTTGGGTTGGGTTTCACTACAATTAGGAAAACACCCACATTTTAGAATAAATGTTATAAAAATAGCTGAAAATTAAAGTGTTTCATCCAGTATGCTGGGACATAAATGGAGGAATTTCACCCATAGATTACTTCCAAAATGCAGTACCTTTTTGTATGTTTCCTTTCACATTTTCTGTAGCAGGTCTGACAAGTAGATCTGCTTCAATAACACTCATGGCAGAGCTCAGTTCAACCCTACTTTTCTATTATAAAAAACATACGCTGAGTATGGGCTGCGCATTAAGATATTTGATGTGAAAATCCTGTCAGTTTTCTGCTATTCTGCACATCCACAGGTCTATTTAATATTTTAATGTGTTTTTCCCTCTTGTTACTTAGAAATATACCATATACTGCATAATGAGAAAGCATTAATGTAAAGTTTACTTATTAGCAAGACTTAGGCATAGTATCTGCACTCACTGGGGCTGAAATAATTGAAATAAAGCAAATGAGAACAGTGAACAAGCAATTCTGACACGCAAATGATTCTTAAGCTCTCATTTTCAAATCAAAGAACACAAAGAGATAGAAGACCAACGATACTCAAAATCGCCATTGACCTCCAACAGACAACAAATTACAGTAAAGCGTTAACACTTAGATGATTTTTGAAGCAAATGAGTAGAAACAACTATTGCTTCTTTCCAGCCTGTGCATTTTGCTAATCAATATTTGGCTTCCATTGTAACATTCTCCTGCCACATAGCAATGCATTTGGAAAAAGTGAATTTTTGTCACACTGCTTGCCAAGTATTTTAAACTGACACCAGCTATGACTAATGACAGGGCTGGAATGTGCTGTTCTCAGTAGAATAGAGGCCTGTACAGACCTAGGAGTTTCCTGGGGTCCAGCTTCTGTCTGTTCAAGGGGCTGGTGCCATACAGCAGTGAATGATGTTCAGAGTGAACCAGCTGTATTTCCTCCAGACTGGCTTTTCGACCTCGAATTCGCTGAAAGAAAACAGCAGAAGCCTACAATATTCCACTGACAATATTTAGGGAGAGGAAAAAAAAAAAAGTAAACGTCCAAAATAACATTTAGTATGATTAATAATGGGTTGAAATTGCATCATGCAGGAATGTGACACTGATTTGTTTATTAAAGTAATGCTATATGAAAAACAAATGTGTGTGTGGTTTATCACAAATGCTTCACTTAAGTCTTAGCAGAGTCAACACAGGGCTTCGCATACAAGAAAATGAAAAAATTCTGATCCTCTTTTCTACATTATTTTAAGAGATGATACAAACCAAAAAGTGAAATATTTCTTAGCTAAGAAATCTGGTTAGAAAAACTGTAGTTTAAAGAGCAAAAACTTATTCACACCTGTGAGCTACAGCTGTGTTCTGAATAAGGATTAATGTTTTTTGCATCACTACTAGGACTTGTGATTTATGCTACTGGAAAGAAGATGATCACAGTAAGGATAGCCAGGGAAAAGAAGAAAATTAAAATTTAAATACTTTAATAAAACATTTCTATGTCTTTTCATTTCTGAAATGTAAGTAAGTTCAATATCCCAGGATCATTTCTGCTGTTACACATGCTGACTCACTTGCTTCCTTTTATAACTGGAGTTTAACTGTTTCTCCAGCCTGTATTCTCCCCACTTAAATCAGTGTTAAAAAGATCTGGGATGTCTTTATCTCTATAAATCCATTGAAATTTAACAACTTTAGGAAGGAAAATATAAAAGAAGGAAAAAAAGATAAAGCAAACACTTCCTTATTCAGCAGATCTGTTGTTGTATGTATTTGGAGTTACAGCTTGTCATGAAAATGTTTACCTCTCTGCTTGTGCTAATGCTGCACAGCCTTTGCAGAAACATGAAGCAGATTTTGTTCAGGTTTAGGCATAATAAACAGCACTGTCAACAAAGTTCTGGTTCCAAAATCATCTTTCCCATTGATATTGAATAATGTGGGGGAAAAAAACAGCCTGTTTTTAAGGTCTGTAGTACTTGGGGCAAGACCTCTTATAATTTAGATGGTGGATCTGTGTGAATGTCAAGGTCTACAGGTAAACAGGTACAGAAGTTATCAAAATAGACAATTCTATTTTTAATAGACTGATTAACCTGTTACAGAAATGCTACACAATTCTAGTTTTCTTAGAGGTTAAGTTGTAATTCTTATAATACCCATCCCCTATACATTCACATCAGAAAGCACCAACCTCTTCACTAAGAGAAGAAAGCAATCTTTTAAATGTTAAAGAGAATGTGCACTGCAAAAGAGAGAAACTGCACAGGGGGGGCAGAATAACCATGTAAAATTTATATTGAGTTAAGCAGCAGCAGTTTTTTTCTGACTAATCAGGAAAAATATTTCAAGAGTTAGATCTAGATGACTGTGGAACAAGCTCCCCTCAGGGAAATGGTGGAAGCCCTATTTCTTGCAGTGTTTAAAACTTGACTGGATACAGCAGTGGAAAAAACATTTTAGGGAATGATCCAAGAATTAAATGACTTAATAAACCCTTTTTCATCTCTAATTTCTTCAAGCCTCTCCCAGTCTCACATGAGAATTTGTAGCAGTGCATTCACATCCTTTTAACACACAGTTGCACAATCAAAATCAGCACATTATGTCACCTCATGGAGTCAGTAAACACTGTAATGGTTCTTCTGGGTCAGATAAAATGTTTTTCTTCACAAGAGAGGTGACTGGTAACATTTATTCATTCATCCATTCTCATTAAGGTCGATGTTTCTAATAAGCTGCCTTAAAATCTGTATACCCGATTTTCCACAGCAAAACTGGGAAGGGAAGCTGGCTTTTAGGACAGCTAAAACAAATGTAGAAAAAAAGTAAAGAGGTATTTCATGAAGGTCACATCAAAGAGCCTTGAGTAGAATACTCTTTGGTCATATATTTTCTACAAGTTATACAAAAACCTTTTAGGAGATGTTTAAGAGAGTTAATTGGCTTTGTTTAAAGTGCTGTTAAATGCCATAGCCCTTTAACCATAAAAAGGCCTGCAGTTTGCCATTATTTTTACAATGAGGAGCTATGTGAGAGCTGGTCTGGCAGTGGCCTCCACAGAACGCTTTGCCAGTGACCCAATATTGCCAGCCAGATTCTCTAGGGGAGAAATAGGTTGTGGCAAAAATAATGTAGCACCAAACAGGATGCCTCACTCCAGGCTGCTCCCAGCAGTAAGGTCCTTGGAGCACAGCCAAGAGATGAGTTGCCAAGGCAGGCGCAGCCCAGAGCTGCTCTTTCTCCATGGCTTCTCCAGCTCCAACCTTGAGTATTGACAAGTGCATTAAAAAGTAAATGGCAGGAGGAAAGGGAAGGTTAAGCAGTACACTCCTGTGCTCTTTTCCATTCCTATCTCCTCATTTACTGTTTCTTTCATCCCACCGTTGCAGCATTCTGCATATCAAGCCATTTTCAATTAAAATCAGAACTAAGGCTCTGCACAGGGAAAAAATAATTTATATTAAAAGTCAACTGTATTAATTACTAAGAACAATTATTCTTAGATAATGATGTCAGGATTTAGCAGTTCTATAAAAGCATGTCATAAGTCTGTTGCTAGAATCTGGAATCATGTAACTTCAGTTATGCAAAGCAATAGTTTCTTGCTCTCACTGGCAGGAGTTATCAGAAAACATAAGATAAGCATTTAAATAACATAACAAGTACGCTTTTTTCCACATCTTTTTATTTTAAAGTGTCTTTCTTAATTTTCATTGGCCATGGTTGTATTGAAACCCTAAATTGTAGTAGAAAGCAGAAAATTTACATAAGGCTAATGAAAAATGAGAAATAGCATAGCATTTGTTTCATTCAGGAGGTTTTGAGTACTACATCCTTGCATCTACTGCATCCTTAGTGGAAGGTGAGTCATCCTTTTCTGATGTGCATGAAAATTTATGTGTTGGCTTTTTCCTCTGACATAAGTAGTTCCCCCATCAACAGAGACATTTACACATCTCAGGAGAGCAAAATAGCTGATGCTTCAAAAAATCAGTCTAGAACTGGAAAGTTATTCTCCCCAGAACAGAAAACTTTCACCTTTTGCAGAAGTTAAGGTCGAAGAGGACCGTCTGGTCTGGTCTTCTGTTTAAAAGAGGCCATTAAAGTTTCACATCAATAACCCCTATTAACCTGAAGATTTTGGTTAGACTTTCAGCACAATCAGAGATTCCAAAAAAACAAAGGTGACACTGCCTGTTTCTCGCAGCTAAACTAGCAGGAATTGTTGACATAGCTTAAGAAATATTTCTCATTCTGGTCTCTCAGTGCAAGGTGTCTATTGCATTTACTGCAGCTATTTATATAGAGGTAAGTGTCTCTGAAGTTTCCTTAGGTTATCTAGTTTGTAAACAAGGTCTTTAAGGTTTTTCCTAATTTTCTGTGATTTCTTGTAAGTGTTAAATTCACTCTTGTTTTTTATAATGCACACAGATAATATGGATCTTTTGCCAGTCCATACAAACACATCACTTGCTCTCTCTTCATTATGTGGGAATTGCAAGCATATCTCTGATGCACATGCACTCACATATGGATGCATTTATTCTCTTCATGTGTTTTGGTTGTCCAGTGCCTAACCTGAATATGGTCAATACTACAAAGATTTTTGCTCTTAAAGACTAATTCTTCCTGTATTATTCCTTCAGTCATAAACTGAGGTTCAGAGGATGATTTTTTTTAATATATTTTTCAGTTGATGTGATCTGGTAAACTCAAGGTTATTGTAATATTTAAATTTGTTTCTTCTCTACCTTCAGTCCATAAGATGTGGACAGAAGAAGGTGTAAGATGTCTCCCTAATCCAGAAAACTACTGAAATTCAGATCAAATTCCAGACTGAAAAGAAAAATGCTGCTGGATCACAGTCCTTAAAGGAAGTGAAGGTGGGGGCACAAAGTGGGACCATGTCTACAGTCTTCTTTTCTTTTATTTTCTTTTCTAAAACGGTGCTGATTAGTGTAGCCTAATGTCAGTCATGTGTGCCTAAATTATGGCCCCAAAGGAGATATGTAAATACTTCCTCTCCTTATAACAAGTAGAAAACAGACACCATTACCAAAACATAATTCAGTCCTTTTTCTGTCCCAAAGGTAAGACAGCTGTGCATTGCTCCATGCCAAGACAAAATTGAAAAAAAAAAAAAAATAAAGATAGTGGATGTTTTTATTTCAACCTTTGAATCTTTTAGCGGCCCTGTTCTGGTGCTGCATTGATACCTGTCTGTCCTACATCTGTCTGTTTTTAAGAAACACAGAATAGGTCTTTCAGTAAAAATACACAAAACTATAAACCAATTCAAAAATATTGTGCCTGAATTTTATTTTCTCAATACATTTATACCAACATTATAAAAAAGTCCATTACATGAGGAAATGACTCCATTCTCTTGCCCTGGGCTCGGTCAGGTGCAGGTCTCTCAAGTCCGTCTCTCCAGAGCTGGCCATAATCTGAATTTGTTTCTCCTTTGTCAATCTATCTACTTGGAAGAGTGATATGATTAAAAAAAAAAAAAAGAAAATCCTAAAGCTGTAAGTTGTTTCTCAATTTAGCAGAAATCCTCTAAATTGTTGTTTGAATAACTCTAGAGCTCAGATATCTACAGCTAGAAAAACAAAGTACAGTCTGGAAAAGCAAGCCCTTTTGGCTGTATCTGCAGCAGTAAATCAAGCAGTGCCAGGAAACATTCCCAGGCACAGGAACACAATCATCTGTACTATTAAATTGCTAAAGTGGTGCTTCACACCGTTTTGGCTGAGCAGCAGCTAGCACTCTCCCAAACGACTTCCAGATATGGTTTGGTCACTGGCATGGGTCAGGGAGCATTCCTGGTAGTATGAACATGAGCCTTTCCATTCCAGTTGGCCACAGTGGTGAAGAACAATCCTTGGCATATTTTATTTTGTAATGAAGACACAGCTTTGAGTACCTTAGTCAAACCCTTTATGATTTTACCAAGTTATATTTTAAAAATGCTATATAAGGGGGCAACATGAGCAGTATATATAGGTAAGAGATTACATTTAGATTAATCTAAGTAGATTAATCTTTTAGCTGCAGCAAGCATGGTGTCAGCCCAGTCATATAGACTTCCACTATCCCATGCCCACTTAAATGACAGTTCTCTGTACTCTTGGCCAGTCATCTCTTCAGGGCCATAGTCCTGAGCTGTGTGAGAGACATTAAGCCACACTGCATGATTTAGGAACACATTTTACTCCAACAAAGATAGCATAGATATAAAGTTCTCATTTTTATAAGGATTTCTTCTTAGATTAAGAAAATAGGGAGGGCCTCCTGGCACAAGCCTGTGGCCAAGGATACACACCTTGAAAGGTAACAAGATTTGAGCTACCTCTGACTGAACTAGCCTTGATCCTTAAACTCCTCATCAGATAAAGAGTGGGACTGCAGCTCTCTTGTGGGACAATTGTTTAGTAAAAGAGAAAAAAAGAAGGTTCACAGTAACTGCAGAGGATTTCCTAAATGGTTGTTACAGGTTGCTATTCCTAAACTGCCCTTCAGGCTTGGTGCATGAGGCAGTGCACATGGCAAAACCTGACCAGTGATCTCCCTTCTCCTTCTGACAGAAACTGTGGGAAATTATACAAGAAACTATATTAAGAAATACTGATGTCCATGAGGGGGCATTCAGAAGTCGGTAAAAAAGACAATGGATTTTTTTTTGTGATCCTTTGATGATTCATTCTTAGTGTGGTATGTTTCAGAATGCAGTTTAGTGGTGGCCTATTATTTCTTGAATAATGCAATAACCTCTCCTTTGGTATCAGGAGTCATATACTCAGCTGAATTACCTTTCTAAAAAATCAGAGCAACAATTAAGTGAATCACCACAGCCTTCCATATTTTGAAAAATGAGCACTGTTTGATGTCAGGTAAGTGCTAAAGAATTCAGTGAAGCAAAAGGCAGGTTACATCACCAAATAAAGTCCTGTCTTTAGTTACATAATAGGATCAAGGTAAGCACCAAATCTACACACCAGCTTCACACTGAAGTTCGTCAAATTTTTATCATCAAAGTTCATATTTTGACTGCACATTTCACATTCCAGCCTCATTTCAAAGCACATAATGCTTTGAAACATAATGGCACATAATAGAATCATAGACTAGTTAGGGTTGGAAAGGACCTTAAGATCATCAAGTTCCAACCCCCCTGCCACGGGCAGGAACACCTCACACTAAACCATGTCACCCAAGGCCTCGTCCAACCTGGTCTTGAACACTGCCAGGCATGAAGCATTCACAACCTCCCTGGGCAACCTATTCCAGTGCCTCACCACCCTAACAGGAAAGAATTTCCTCCTTATATCCAATCAAAACATGGCACAAAAAAGCCATTCGACATGAAGTAACATATTTCCTTTTTGCCCAGTCAGTCACTGGATTTTGCAATATCTTCCAGGAAAGTATTGGACTGCACACACCTCAGACTAAATTATATAATTTTTCCCATTTACACCTTTTGCAGATGCATATAAGTTACTGTTGGGAACTATCTGTTTTTACTGAAGAAAGCAATACAATCCAGTACATTTTGGTTTCCTTATTTTCTCCTTTTTTTTTCTTTTGCTTATAAAGTGGGTTCTAAGTCAAGAATATAACTAGTGAAGCACTTTGGTTTGGTGAATTTTACTGAAGCACTTGGCTATGTGCTTAACTGACTCCTTAAGTATGCGATCCCACCAGTGAAACCACTCATTTGATATGAGGCCTTAAGAGCCTTGCTGAAAAGTCTTCTTGAAGGTTGAAAAAAAATTATCCAAGCTAAAAAAAAGGATTAGCCTGTCAGAGTGCTGCCATCTAGTTAGATGAGTGTATGCAACAAATCCATTTATAGTGCTTGCAATATCTCACTGCAGAGTACACTAGGCTACCTGAAGAAAAATCTTTGTGGACAGTCACTAATAGCTAATCAAAGGAATCTATTGTATGTGTTCCTTTGGGCTTGTAAAAACTTAAGTATATAAAGAAAAGTAATTAAAGAAAATAGACCGTAAATGCCCTGGAAATTTTGGGATCCTGCAAAACAAGCAAGCTTGTGCTGAACTTTGCTAACTTGTGCTGCAGTGCAGTAAGCACCCTGAGTTGCCACAGGCTTCTGCAAAAATTGACAGTTCTGCACAACTCATGGGAAGCAGTCAATGACAAGAAAAGGCTGTTTTCAGTAACCTAAGTCATATATACACCTCAGAGCCTATATCTGATATAAGCATGATGCATTAATAAACAATTTTGTGAGAGAAATCAAAGCAGGAGAAAGTTCAACGTTTACTCTGATACTGTCAGAAGATTGCACTTGAATGTCTTGGGTTTTGACATGGCAGCAGTTGTACACCAGGCAATGAAAATGCTATGAAAACAGACTTTAGAGTCTGAAATAATACAAGATGCAGTGTGCTTATGGAGTAATGCAAAATACATTAAAAAAAACTCCAGTGTTCTGTGCTCCTACAGAAATAAAATCTTCAGCTGCTTGAAAAAGTTAAGAACTACACTGTTGAAAAGACTGTACTTGCCATTTGACAGCTGCTTGTCTACCTTCCTTTATCTATATTCTGATGCATACGCGCAAATGACTTTCAATGTGTAAATTCTTTGTTTTCTGACTGGGAAGTGTGTTTTCCTAAAATGCATTATTTTGATATTGTCAGTTAAATAATTCCTAAGACAAATTACTCTCTTACGAAAGGATTTAATAAATTTGCCATTTAGTTTAACAAGTCAAATATCTTGTCTTTATTTTTTATTACCTCACACTTGTTTAGCAACCCAGTTTCTTGCAGCCTTGACCAGATGCTTTGGATCCTTCCGGCATGTTCAGGGTGATTAGCATAGTTGCCACACATACACTGGTGCTTCAACATGAGACTGTCATATACAACACCTTCAGCACAAAGACAGCACAATAGGAAACAAAAAATGAGAGAAATGCAAGTTACACTGTCCTGTGTCATGTGTACTACAGCACAACTGAATTTTTATTTAACACTTATAGCAAAATTAAAATTCTGGATTTTAATTCCCTTTTCCTCTGGGAGGTTCTGAATTTTGAAATAAAAGTTACATCTTGTGATATTGATAAGGCAAAAATGCAGTCTCAAGAAATTATACTAGCAAGTGCAATTAGCTGTAAATAAGAAAGGAAACCTGGCGGTACCTTGTTAAAGCTTTTACAGCTAGAAAAGTTTCAGTCCTATTATTGAATCACTTGTTTTCTCTTCCTCTAGTGCATAAGGTCAGCTAAGGCTGTTAACCTACATATAACACAAAAAGGTTATTTATTTATAGCAGTGTAAGGAAAGTCATTCAGAAAAACCTTAAAAAATAATGAAATGGCAATGCCACTCTGTATTTGTGCTGCTTAACTAGTACTATATTAATTCCAGATCTCAAAAAATATCAGATGAAAATTTCAGAGTGCTGCAACAGTGACAGCCAGAGTCCTTTTTCATTAACAGGAAAAGTTCCACCCACTACTCAATCAGGACCAAATCTTATTGTTAGACTGCAATGAAAGGTACCTTTTGAATTTTCTATGCTCATTTATTCAAGGACAGAACAACTTTATATGAAACAGTTATCAATATCACATTGCTCTGTAGCTGTATAGTAGAAGCAGAAGAGAAATTTCAGTAAGTAGGCTTGAGCTAACCTCAATTTTCCAGGCTTTCAAACCAAGTCTGAAACACTGAAAATGATTTTATTTATTTATTTGTTGCTTGCAATTCCCTCAGAAATGTCTGGAATAAAAATATTTTCCTTACACCTGTGAAAAATTTGAATTTTGGAAACATTTGAATTTTTCATCCCCTTAAAATTGAAAGGGACTTAAATTAACAATTTCTCCAAACTGCAAAACTTAGCATGGAAAGCCTCTTTCTTATGTGCCACCACTACTGGAGATGACGGCACCATTCTGGGAAAATTGTGTTAGCCTGCTACTGAAAAGTCAGTAAGTGAAGAAAATATAAAACTGAAGTCCAGATTCAACAACATGCTCAATACTACTCTTATTTAGCAAAGTTCTTGAATGAATATTGAATGGTTTAAAACTCTGCTAAAAGTCAGTATATATTGTGGACAATGAAAAGTTAAGGTTCTGAGATAATTCAGTTGGAAGCCAGACAGAAATTACGCTGCTCTAGAAATATTTATGCTGCCATATTTCTTAGCTCATGCACTTTAGAATTCAACCTTTGCAATCTTGCTATTTCAGCCAAAATGATAATACAACAGTTATGTTTAGCTTAAGGAGAATGCAAACATAATACCTATGTTGAGCATGACTGACTTTATGCTAAATGATCATCTAACAAACAGAATAGTTCATAAGAAATAAATTTTCTTCTAAATTTTCTTCTAAAGTAAAGAAGAAAAATCAGTAATAATTTTCTGAGGATAATAAACTAATGCAACTGAAAATCTCCACTGGCATTGTCAGCGCAGTCAATAATTTCCTTTTTCTGCAGTTATTTTCACTGTGATGTTTATAAGCTTTGTTGCTCTATCATCAGGTCTTACAAGTTATTTGAAATAGCAAATGCACATGAATAAGTCCATGCTCACATATTTTGCTTCCCTTTTCTTTGCACCAAATGTTTAAATTTTGCATTCTGCTGTATACCCAGATTGTACAGTTTGCCAGTGATCATGATACCATTAGATAAGAAAACCTTTCCTCCCATCCCCCTGCCTAACAGAGGTGTTTGGATGCTAAATGTATATGCATCAGGACTTACAGAAGCTCTTAGGCAGAGAAGGCAGTTACATCTAATGGATTTGAATGGAAATACTTGTTAAATGCAAAAAAAATTAACTGAAAATGGAAATTATCTCCAGCCTGCCACTCTTTCAATCAATATTTTATTTCTAATTATCAATGCTCCCTACAGGCTTAGACTTCCATAGACTGAACTGAAATTAATACAAAAAAAATTTTTACTATGTTATTGTTATGCAGAATCAATATGTTATATAGTAATGACACTTTTTGATGACCTATATCAGAGTTGGAACTAACCCTTGGTTTTGAAGTGAAAAGCTGTACCTGTGTATTCAGGATGCCTCCTTTGGTTGGCATAGATATAAACATCCCTTTCTTAGTGAACTAGTATTTTCCCCAAAATACAATATAACTACAAATGTAGTTTTATTGTATGCAAATTATTTTGTCCTAATCAAAAAACAGTTTAATTGGGTCAAGTTAATATTGCATGGCAGAAGCATCTGTTCCAAATTTTTAAATACTGATATTCACACCACTGAGTGTGAAATTAATTTCTAGCAGGATTAATTGACTTAAGAAAAGAATGAAATATATGTTTTCATTTATTGCAAGCATCTAAATTGATTTAGGATGTGCAAGTAATTCAGATGTGTGGCTGCTGCTCATACAGCACATGTGCTTGGTACAATACCACAATGCAGCAGTAGAGCTTACTGCTAAAAATAGCCTGTAGGATTTCCCTAACAGGATTCAGCCAATAACCTCCCCACCCCCACAAAAAGAGCCAGAGAGAGAGAGAAACAACTGTTTTCAATTGCAGACTGCTGTGAAATATTAATAAAAGATGGCTATTCTGTCTCTCCAGAGAAAATGCCTTCAGCCAGATTCTGCTCTCAGATTCATTGTGTAAATCTGAGCAGCTCTACTGAGACTGGCGGACTTACTGTGGATTTACACCAACATTAGTGAGGTCAGAATGCGGCCCTGATGACAGACTGGAACGGTGGCACAACTGAACCATATAATGATAAAGGACACAGGACAAAATAAACTGAATTTGCATTACATCTGAAAAAAAAAAACCTTCTTGATGGGGCCTCCCTAACACCCATTCTTTTCCAAATACTTTATTTGGTTCAGCTTATTTTAATAATATTTTAAACAAAAAGAGCAAGAAACCTAAAAACTGTTAGCTAACGATATGCTTTGAAGAAGGTGAAGTGCCCTGGAGAGCATTGCCAATAAGAAAACCCAAGGGAAGAATATCTAATAAATTATTCAAAAGAAAAGTCTGAACTGAATCATGTCAAATATTCTGTAAACCATCTAAATGAGCATCAGGTAGACTTTATATTTTTTTCCATCTTTAACTCTTTATCTCATATATCTACTGCATATATACTGCACAGCTCTTTTACAGGTATCTGCATTCTTATTCCCTTCTTATTCCATTCAGGGTATATTAGCCAATATTCCCTTCAGATATTTGCCTAAGAGCATTTTCTTTTATGACTCACAAAAATATAGGCTCATTTAGATCCCCGTGTAATATTCAGCCACAAGAGTGTTTCTTCTACCTTTTTTTGTCTTCCAGAATATATTATCTTTAAATAAGAAAAACAAAACAAAACAAACAAAAACAAAACCAAAAAAAAACCCAAAACCAACAAAAAAAAAACCACACAAAAAAAAGACACACAAAAAAAAATCCCACACAAAACCAGTAAGAAATAAAACAAGGCAGGGAGGTGTTTTTACATTAATTTCTAAAGTCTGAATTCGACCTCACTTCATGCTGTTCTCCCTTTCCACACACCAATTCCTTCTTTACATGTGTTTAAAAATGCTAGTGCTGCAACTGCTGTGGACTGGTTGCATCTTGTGCTCTCTTAAAGGAGCAAATCACAGAACCACAGGATAGCTGAGGCTGACAGGGATGTCTGTTAGACCAACCCTCTGCTCAGAGCACGTCAGCACTGTGGTCAGACCAGTTTGCTCAGAGCTGTCAAAGTTCCTGAAGAATTTAGGAAAGGCCACATAAAAATGGATAAAAACTGGGTCGACTTCTTTCTTTCCACTAACCAGTGAATAAATGCTAGGGCACCAGCCAGACCCAGGAAATACTATGCACAAATAAAGCCAGTCTATATACCATACCCGTACTGTACCATACCATACCATACATTTATAATGCACACATCAATCTAGGTATTCACAGAAGCTGTATTAGAGCTGTTGAAGTTTCAAAATATCAATTCATTGTGACTCCAAAGATGTTAATCTCATAGAAATTAAATATATTTTCAATTTACTCAGATGTGGTAGCGACAAAGTTTATATATGTAAGTCTATAAGCCTAAAGACATGTCAGGGAAAGGGGCTTCTTCAAGCAGGCTTCATTGTGAATGCAGAATTGCATCTCTCTATTGCATCTGAGAATCTGAGAACTGGTCTAGCAGCCCAGGAGTATTGGCTGTTAGCACAGATACAGCTGAGAAGCACCTACAGCACTTTACTGTGTCTCCAGCCAGTGCCTGGAGGATATGAAAGAGGTGAAGGTACAGAGCAGAAGTGGAAAATCAGAAGCATAAATTTGTAGAGAAAGAGGAAATAGGAGGATCTCTTTTAACGAGTAGAGATGTTTATCTTGAAAGAGTGGGGGATAGGGAAAAAGGCTTCAATAAGAGAAGAAACAGGGATTCAGGAAAAAGATACTTTGATTTGGAGTAAGGAGTTCAGTGAAAGATTGAGAATCTCTGATAGAATAAGATACGTTTTTTCTCTCTTTCCTTCTTTCCTTCTTTCTACCTTTCCATTGATGTTGTGCATGTAGTGATACTTAACTAAAGGGGTATGGTTAAACTGTCTGCGCAATCTTACATCCTGACTCTCTGTATGGGCTGTCTGCATTTCTGTTGCAGAGCTCATGAGACTTCCTTGTGTCAGATCTCAAGCCCTGATGCCTGGTACTTTCCGCTCCCACACCGTCTCCATTCAGTGTTTGTCCTACATAATTTCATCCCTTCTCATTCTTCCAGCTCAATTAAACATTTTCTTTCTTGATCAGTTCCACTGGTACCACAAGTTCCCAGATATATGTAACACCCTTGGCCCTAGTCCCCTTTCTGGGGACTCACAAAGGGAGATGTCAGTAAGCCTTAGCAATCAGATTGAAACAGCAGACTTTACATTTGTAACTCCATTCAGCTTTTCTAGTGGAACTGCAGATTTTTGAACAGGACACTGAAGCCTGCACACAGTGAGTTCACTTCTGGTGTGTTCTGTGAATCTTTTAGCACGAGTTTACAGTGTTTTGGGGACACTGTGAAGCACAACTAGAAAAACAGTGGCCTTTTTTAAATAATCCTGTCTATACACAGCTGTTTGTTTTTTTTTCAGAAACTCATGGAAAGTGAATTAGCATGGTTTTTGGGTAACAAATATTTGTTACCCAGCAAATGAAATTCTTTGCATCCATTTACCCACTTACTTGCAGTGCTTTAAGGACATCTCTTTTTCTTTTCTTTTTTTTTTTTATAATATTATGTTTTGTTTTCCAAGTTCTAGTTCTAATTGGGAATATGGGAGAGCATGCTGTCTTGCACAGTCTCATAGAGTGTCCATTAACTCCATCATAGATCAATTCATGGTCACAGCCTGAAGAGCTGTAAGCTTTTAGGTCATGGCAAGTCTGCCAACAGATGTGAAGGAACTAATACCTCTGTCAGAAACCTGAATAAATGATATCTCCAAGTATTCATTTTCCCTTTCTTGTGCACAAAGTAAGTGAATCTTCACATCTAACCATGCTGTAATGTTATCCTGGGATTCTGGCTCTTAAAAAGATGGGAGCTCTTGCAAGGTTAGATTACCCATAATAAGAAATGGTGCTTGTGTGTTAATTTTTCTTCCTTTCACTGAAGCTTTTGGGGGTTTCAATCACTTTGCTTTGGACAGACCAGGCTATACCTGATGCTCCCTGAGTGAGGACTCCCAGGGCCTGACTGTAAATCCTTCCTCTGTAGACTCCACAACAGCTACTGAAAGATGCCAAAGTTGTAATCAACATCACCTTCTAGTCATGGCTACAGCTTTGCTATTTCTGCAGGGAAAGCAATCTTGCAGCATAGACTGACTTATAAAATGAAGATGTCGAGAATTATATTGCAGCTTTCCTACTTACTGGTGGTCTCTCTTCAACTTCCTGGTGGTCTCTACAAAACAGGCAACAAGAACACAGAGAAAAGACCCAGAAAATAGAGAAATGAAATAAAAAAACTATAAATGACTTAAAAGCACCAAAATGCACCTGTTACTATATTGCCATAGCCAGTCAATGATAATAATTTATGACTGTGTGAATATTGTGTGATTTATCAGCTGCACTGGTTGACATGATGCCAGTACAGCATCATAAAACTGAGGAACAGCAAGGCTAAAACTGAATGCATTGCTGCAGGAGGCATTTGAGGCATTTAAGTCTGCTGATCCTACATAACAAACACATTTTTCTTGCCTATTTAAAGCAGTCTAGGGTATCCTACCAGTGGTGTAGACATGCTGGCTGGGCTGGTCCATATCTGCTTGAGGTAATGTGGAATCAGCGGGGGAAGATGGGGTCCTGAACACTGGCTGATGTTTATCTAATCCCGCCATGCCAACTGTAGCCATCTGAGCCTGGTAGATTTGCAACTGGTGGACACGCCGATGTGCCAGGAACTCCTGTTTCCAAGAAAACAGCACAGTAGAAAGACATGTGAGATGAGATCAAGTAAGACACTGAGGGAAACATGTCAACAAATTAAGTTCATTAGGTCAGGGCTGTAATAAACAGTGTGGACTCCCCCCCTCAACAGCAACTCACAGCTAAGACCTAGTCAATAAATCCATTCAACAGATGTTTTCACACTGACAGCATGGGCTGCTGACTTTGCTGGAGAGTAGGTAGGTCATAGCAGGCAACCTGTCAGTTCTCCCTGATAGAGGGAAAAATGGTTTCGCATTCAGAGGCTTATAAAAGACAATGTTTTTTTCCAATATATTGAATACGTAATATGATGTTAGAATATGCATGTTATGACCCTACACAAATAAAAATAAAATCTTCCTACAGCGCAGAAAGTGAAAAGCGGCGTCCTTACTATCAAGTACAAAACTTGCTGAGCGACTGAGATTCAAGTTTCTACAGAGGTCTCAGTCCCCAGAGTACTCTGGAAACCAGGAACGATTTGGACATAAGTTTTCACAAATGGCTTAGAAATTCAGGAATTGTTACATGAGATCCCACTTGGGGACCACCTTTTTTTGTCATAAATCCTGCCGGCTGTAGGCAGTGCCAGACTTCAGGAAAGGTCAGCAGGTGTGAAAAGACTGAGAGCAGAAATGAAGATTTCCTCCTCTGTTTTGTTTGTCAACAGATGGTGAATTTTGCTGACATGACAAAAGGCTGAAACCCTGCTGAAGTCAGGAGAAACCTTGGCATTCACTCTCTCCACAGAGCAGAGTTGCTCAAGTCCTTTTCTTTTTCCTTTTGTTTTTTGTGCATATAGTCCTAGAACCTCAACAGAAAGTGAAAGCAAGCAAGAGATTTCCAAACCATTCTGCAATGTAAATTCAGATGAAGTTCACACTTCTAAGAACTGCAGGCTCTGTTTATCCTCACCTTGGCTCGGTATACATTTATGCAGGTATATATGGTGCATGTATGGGGCTTTTTTCCTGTTTTGACCCGGTAACAATTAGCAGTGTTGCGTGCTGTTGCTTGGCACAGCAGCTCAGAGGTCTGACCCAACCAAAGAGGGATTGTTGGGTGCCTACAGAGATGAAACTAAGTTCAGGCTGTGCAGGAAATCAGGTAGAAGTACCTTGGAGTGTCCCAGTTCCTTGTACACTGCAAAATGAATCCACAGCTCATGGGAAGAGAGAATATCTACCCTGCACCTAAAAAAAGGCCTCTATGAAAGCAGTAATCATGAGTAACAGCTGAAATGAGAGCAAATGTTTTAAAGTAAGCCTCAAAACCCACATTAAAATCTAGGGTCACACTTCAGAGAAAAGACATAAGGTTATAGGAAGGTAAATCAGTTGGAACCTTGTCTAAGTGACTAAATAGAGAAAGAAAATACGAGTAAGCAGAAAAGAGGCTTTGCAAAAAGAGATTTTACAAGAAGTGTTTTGGTTTGGCATCATTAAACCTTTTCCCTTTCTTTAGATAGTCCCCAAATTTTCCTATTGCTTTTTCAATGTATGATAGCAGGATGAGATTGTATATTTCATGAAATATCTTGAGGTATCTGAGGAGATCTATGCATGCCCTTTCTCTATGAACATAACATAATATTCAGGAATTCTTTCCTGAAATGCTGAAGTGCCTTGTTTTTACTTAATTTCACTAATTATTTTTACTGTGATTAATTTTCAGAGGAGATATTTTTTTGTTCTCCTAGGCATGCAAACCTTTTGTAACCTTTGCTGAAAGTGGATGATTGGTGAGAAGTGAAGAGCACATGAATGCTATTCTGTTGAATATTTTTCCTATGAAGAACATATTCCTAATTTCCTATGAAGAACATATTCCTAATTCTTTTGTGAGGATTTAGCAGTCATAGTCCTCAATGCTGGCTTAATGCTCAATAAAGGAGTTATTTTGCTGTCTGTGGCATGACGACACCTTGCATCCTTGGGTCAAGCAGTGACAGCTGGACTGTCTGTCTGATGCTGGTGTATTCACCATCTCCTGCCTCCTTTTGATCTGTTTCAAAGCACAAGAGCTAGCTGAGCAGTTTGGAGGAAGACAAACTCCTACCTGGAGCCCTTCTTCACACAGACCTCTACTACCATTCATGAAATGAACAGAATTGTTATTTCTGCTGCTCTCCTCAACATCGCAGGTGCATTAATTGCAGGAATTAAATACCTGGTATCTGTGTAGTTCTTTGATTAATGGGATTTTTGATAGTATCTTTTAGTATTCACACTAATTCATTAACTGAGTTCACTTTTCTGATAATTACTAGAGTACAGAAGACAAAGGGTATTCTTCATATTACTTCAAGCCAGTAAGGGTGCACCAGTGTATTCTGGAAGTCTTTATTAAACAATATTATTTAAATGTACTTCGTAAGGAAATCTTGGGAATTCAGCTCTCAGTGAGTGGGGATGAGAAACAAATGTTTCTGTTTGGACTTTTTTCAGTGCAAGTAGACTCAGCTCTGAGCCTTTAGAGCTGCCTCATCTGCCTTTATTTTACTTTCAGACCTGAACTTCACTTGGGCAGTGACTGCACAATCTTATTCAGTGAAGCTGTAAGTTTGCCGTTCAACCAATATCCAAAATCTAATCTAACCAGGTCTCTGACCTCAAAAAGTTAATTTAGGTGGTTTTGGATTGGTTTGGGGTTTTTAGTGCTGTCTTCAAGAAGAAAAGATTCTAGGTCTGGAACACTATAAAACATGGATAATTCAGGAACATGATCCTACCTTTGCTTATAACAAGATTAGGTGTTTGTGTCTATGTGAGCAATAGAAATAACACTATTGTTCAGGCATATGAGCAAATCAAGGTAATATTTTAGAATGCTAATCAACCTGTGTGAACATCACTTAGGATCCAGCCAGCCATACATTTCAGCAATTTGTCAAAGAGGAAACCTGTTCTTGCTCTCCTGTATTTTTCTGCTAAAATGTATTTTGTTTATATCATTCTTCCCTTCTCAAACGAAACCAGACACATACCCTGAATTTGACAGATGTTTATCAGCATAATCAGTACATGGAAGGAGAAGAAATTTGTGGATGGTTGGATGGAAAGCTGCATGACACCTGTTTTAATTTCGGAGGTCATGGAAAACTGTTTGCCTGCGAAAACCTTTTAAATTTTGTTAAAAGTGCAGTAGGTTGTCTCCCAGGGCTAACACCGAAGCTTGCTTGCATCGTCTGGTGACCGCCAGGTCCTAAAACTGTAATTTTAAAAACTCGAAGCATCAGCAAAGTTTGGACTTGTTTAGGTTTTTGTCAAAGATTTAGGCTAACTTCCTGATTAGGTTTCATTTTACAGACAACAGGCACTCCTGAAATGCATGTACTTTTTCCAGCCACCTATGTATTTATGCTGTGAGCATTTGAGATACACTGTGACACACAGACAACTGGATTAGTGCAATGAGTAATGTGAATAATCAAAACACTTATCTGGCTCCCCAGATGCCCACCTGGACTCTGGAAGGGATTAAAGCAACACAATGAATTCATCTTCAGATTTTATGTGCTACAGCACTGCAAACACATGTCCATCTCTCCAGCAATATGACAAAAGCAGTATTTGCACATCTGCAGGGTTAGTGATTTGTGTGAATATATTTGGAGCATTTCTTAGGTAACCTGAGCCCTGCTTGCCCGGCATGGAGCCTGCTAGTTCCAGGTGCCTGAGATTAGTTTATTAGTAGAGGCAGGCAATTAGGGCCTCTGCTGGAGCGAATGGAGGGTCATTTATCGTCTTCCTCAGAAACCAGCTCAGACCTTCAGTAATTATTTTAAGGAGGATTTCTAGAATCAGTATCTAAAGAGAAGATGATGCTTAAAGAGACATGGGAGATAAATATTTGTTATTCTCCTACTGTTACTGTAAGGTTTGCTTAGGAGGAGGTGGAATTAATTTGGGTTGGTGTGAATACTCCTTTCATGTAGAAGTGTGATTTGTATGTTTTGGTGCTTAGTGTTTTACATGTTCTGGGAATTTTAATGAGAGCTACTTCCTTAGTTCTACTGGCTGTGAGAACTGGTGTCTCACAAGTGTGTTCAGTTGTTTTATTAGGTGATCTATGTTGTATGATAAAGTATAGGTGAATTCTCCATGAATTAGCACTCCTTCAGGCTGTTATGTTTTGTGCAGAGAAAAATATGTTCTGTTCACTTACAAAAACTTTCCTTGCCTCACAACACTTTGCTTTTTAGTTTAGTTTGGTATGTTTTAGTTTAATCACAGCTAAATAAATCATAAAAGTTGTATGTCCGTACCACAATCTTGTATATGGGCATATGCATGTCTCTCTTCAGGTTTATGCTTTGGCTTCTTCTCACTGTGGTAGAAATCTATTTTTTCCTTAGGAAATTTAAAATTTGCCATTCCTAGTGGCAAGATTACTGCTTATAGTCTCTCACGTATTTGTGGCCAGGTTTATAGCCCTCTGCCGTGCCTCTGCTGAAGTATGAAATGTGTGCTAATGTCTATTAACTGTTAAAAATCATTCATGTATTGACCACCCTCCCCTGAAGACCTTTAGTACTGCTAACCTTGCAAAGCTTTTCCTTTCAAAGCATTTTTGGTGGCCTGTTCCCTAGGTAATTTTTCCCTATAATTTCCACATTGTTTTTTGAACATTACCGCAAGGACCAGTTATTACTGAGGAGGAAAAATACATAACGTGCTGGAGGAAGTTTTGTCCTACATGAGGATGAAAACAAACCCTGCCCAGCAAGCAAGACCTACGGCTTTCCAAGTGCTTCCTCCAGCTCCTTCCTCCGAAGGGTGTTTCTGACACCTGCCTTGTCTCACCCCACAGCTCCTGTTGGAGTCTCTCTGCTCCTTACCCATTTTAAGATCCCTGTAGCAACATGGAAACAGAGTAACTTTAGGTCCTGCCACCTGTCTTTCCCCACCCATCATCTTCCTTGACTTCCAAACTTCCTGGTACCGTTGTTGAATGCACCCACAAGATGTTCAGA